GTATGGTTCAATGCCACTCTGAAAATGTTGTTGTTGTTTGTCTGAGAGTCTGGCAAGTTTTTGAAACCGACCATTAGATATCTCGCTGGTTTGACGGTGTTGGTGATTGGCCACGTGGTGGATTCTCCCGTTAAAGTCATGCTACCTACCGTGTTACGACGAAGAAAAGCAATTTCGATGTCTTTGGTTAAAGAGTTGAATATTCTCGTTTCCACTTGTACGGAAGGAGTGATTACCGGTATGTAAAGTTGGATATTCGTTATTTCCAATTTTGCGTCAGAGTTGTTTTCACCAAAGAATATCTTGTTGTCGTTGATTTCTCTTTGCAAATGAATTTTATACGGTAAACCTATGGAAACCTTTCTGTGTTCCAAGAGACCAAATAAAGGATACAACTTCCAATTTACGTAATTACCCCATCTGTTGTTCTCGACGACATTGTTGTATTGAAGCGCTCGTTTTTCAAATCCGTGATTTACTCCGCGAGTCACTCTTTCCAGTGTGTTTCTAGCAACTACCCTTATCCTAGCAAGGTCTGCGTCATTTGCTACAGTTCTGACCGGTTCTTTTAAAACTTCTCCGTCACCGACATCGGGAATCCATCCCGAAACTGAATCGTAGTTTTTGGGATAGAGAACCGTTTTCAACATTGTGTCAAACTCGCCGTGGTGTTTTATGGTCTCTATCGGATTTGAACCAGCTTCCAAAACCATTTCGCTGAATAAAGACGGAAAGAAGTTGTTTTCTAAAGTCGTGTTGGTTTGTGGAATTCGATTCTTCGCATCGGAAATGGGCATCGGAAAGCAGCAACCAATTGGACAACGAATTAATTTCAAAGGTAACTCTTCCTCCGTCGTTTATTTGGGTCTTTGTCCCTACCGATGGTGAGATGATTACGTAATCCTCTTTCTTGTTGTTGAACGAATATTGAATCGGATCATACAATTGAAAGATTGGATCCAATCTGTAATTTTTACTTGCCATTTTTATCCAATGATTTTAAACCCTTTTCCTTGTTTTTCTAGGGCTTGTCGTTTCTTAGTTCTCTTATTAACTGCAGTTCTTTAAGTTCGTCAGATTTTTTCACTGCATCGCTAATATTTACTCCTGCTTTTACCACAGATCCAAGAGCTTGCGCTTCTGAGGAAATGAGGGATTTGGTGTTTGAGACAAAATTGGCCACTTTGGGGATGAGAGATGTTAGCGCAGAGAAGAAACCGTCTCCTTCGAATTTTTTTTGTTCATGTTTTAAAATTAAAGACATTTTTATTGCGGTTATTTTATACTGTATTATTATTAGTGATCTGTGGTTTGGGTAATTTATAATTGGGGAGTTTGTTATAATACAGTTTGGAGGAGTCTGTTATAATACAGTTTGGGGAGACTGTTATAATACATTTTAACAGTTGTGTCTTTTCGGATATGATGCATTGAAAAAGCTGCGCATGCGCAGAAGTGAAATGCGTCATATCCGAAAAGACATATACTACTATCATCCATGTTTTGTATTTGTTTTTTTAATATTTGTTAGTTCTTTTTGTAATTCACTGTTAAGTTTAGTTTCCAGAGCATTTAATTCCTGTTGAAACGTATCTTCATTTTCATCTGGAATGTTATCTATCAATTGTTGAATGTCTAATTTTTGTTTTGCAATCTTATCCTCTAATTTAGATATTAATGAAATTAAATTTTGTAACTCAGTTTTGTTCGCTACGTTGACTAATTCTTTTTGAATAATAAAATTGTTAGATATGCAATCTCAGAACAACACAGATTCGAAGATTATTCGGGCGACGGTATCTTTTCTTCATTATTTTCTCTAGGTAAAACAATAATTCCAAAAGTAGCTAGCTTTAATCATTAAACTCTTGAAAGCAAAGATGAAATTAGGTATGGGATTAGCGGATGAAATTCATAAAGAATTTAGAAAAACTAAAAACTTTTTAAAAGTCAAAGTGTTTGAAAAAGATGAAATATGGTCTGCCGATTTAATTCATATGCCGGTCGAAAGAGGATTTAAATATTGCTTAACAGTTATAGATTTATATACGAGATATGTATGGGTTATTCCTTTGAAAAACAAAACGGGATTATCAGTCAAACACGCATTTGAAACGATTATGAAACAATCTAACCGTCATCCAGAAAAACTGTGGGTAGATAAAGGAAGTGAATTTTATAACAAAAATATGAAATCACTTGGGTTTGAAATTTACAGTACGCATAATGAAGGTAAAGCTGTAGTAATAGAAAGATTTAACAGGACTCTAAAAAATAAATTATTTAAAAAGTTCACGGAATTGAAATCTCAAAAATGGCTTAAAATATTACCAGAGGTTGTAGATGAATACAATAACAAAATTTATTCATCTATAGGTGTCACACCAACACAAGCCTCGAGTAATCCAAATATTATAAAGTCAATTAACGCACAACATAACTACGAAAATGAAATAAAGAATTTAAATATCAAACCCAAATTTAAAGTCGGAGATCGAGTTCGTATTTTCAAATATAAAAGTAAATTCGAAAAAGGTTACGTTGGATACTGGACAAACGAAATATTCATCGTTGATAAAGTAAACACCACATCACCTCCAACATATGAATTAATCGATCAAGACAAAGAACAAATCATAGGTAGGTTTTATCAAAACGAACTTCAAAAAACCGACTTTTAAAAATGAATGAATTTCTCGATAAATATGGAACCGATACAACCACAAACTTTCAACTTATGAGATGGGCGAATGAGTTAAATATATCACCGTTTTATTATTGTATGAGAGATGAAATAAATGATCTGAAATATAAGAATGGTAAATTTTACGCTATAACAAATATACATACTTCCGATCAAAAAGGAGTTCATCATTCTGTTTTGTACAAAGACTCTGACTTTTATTTCTTCGATTCTTATGGATTAGAACCCACTGAAGAGATAATCCAATTAAACCAATCAAATGTTCAACATTTCAAATTCAATTACCGGGACAAAAGTTTTGTGGTCAACTTTCACTTTGGGTTTTATATTAGCTGAGTTTAGGAAAACAGTTCGAAGAAATTGTAATAAATTTTAACTCAATAAAAATGGCGAATAAGTTTGGATTAGGTTCTTTATCTTTAGAAACTAAAAAACCTAACACTACAGCGTGGATATATAAAGCGAAACCTTACTTCGTGGATCAAGTCGGGGACACTCTTCAAGGTGATTTAGATATGAACAATTTTAGCATAACTAATTTAAAGTCTCCGGAAAACGATAACGATGCCATTCACAAGAAATATTTACGGGAACAAATAAATTCAATTGAAGTTAATAAAACCATTTAGAAGATAAAATAAGTAATGTGAAAAGATTCTTCAAACGTCAACTAAATAATAAAAATTTTGTTAATGATACTAAACTGCAACAAGAGGTACAAAGATTGATAAGTCAAAGAATTGGTCAACGTAGTGAACAAAACTGAGTTACAAAATTTAATTTCATTAATATCTAAATTAGAGGATAAGATTGCAAAACAAAAATTAGACATTCAACAATTGATAGATAACATTCCAGATGAAAATGAAGATACGTTTCAACAGGAATTAAATGCTCTGGAAACTAAACTTAACAGTGAATTACAAAAAGAACTAACAAATATTAAAAAACAAATACAAAATATTGATGATAGCGAAATCAAAACCTATATTCAACAACAAATACAAAATATTGATGATAGCGAAATCAAAACCTATATTCATCAACAAATACAGAATATTGATCATAGTGTTATTCAACAACAGATAACCACTATTAATAACCTAGTTTTGAAACAGGATAAAAATATAGTCGCATTAGAAAAAAAGTTTCTCAAGAAAGAATCATATTATTTCAATCTTCCATTTGGAAATTTGAGAGATTAAGATGCTTCTATTACTGATAAATCAAAAGACTATGAATATAAAAAATATGGATTTACAGCAAATATAAGAGTATATTCTGTTCCAAATTATACTATTTCCCCCCAAGATATTTTTGATCCAGATGATCATATACTTATCAACCAAAATTTTTTGATTTCCGAGGAAAACTTATAATTGAAATAACTTTCCCTTTTCAGGTAAAAGTTGATTCATTATTCTTCACACAAGTCTTCTTAACACAAAGCTTATATATACCTAATAAAAAATTTAACGCTAAAAAATTTCTTCTGTTTATCAATGGTACAAAAAATGTAGAAACTAAAGAATATGAAAGTAACGACGAAAACAACAAGGTTAATCACTTGTATGAAATTAAAACGAGTGGAAAATATATAGATAGGTTTAGAATGTTAATCGTACAAGATAAAGAAGAAGATGAATTTATATTGAGTGATTTTGATATGATATTGGAGGCGGAAACTCCACCATCAATGAATATTATTAGAAATCCACAACCAGAAAAAAAAGATATAAGCTTTTATGAGTTTTTACGAGCAACAGACTTTGAATACGTAAAACTATATTTTGTTGATAATGGTAAATTTACCTCAATTGATATTCATAAAAGTCAACAAAAACAAAATTTCTTAATAAGAGATGATGCATATGTTAATATAATAATCTATATTGAAAAACCAAAATTTTCAGTTCATCTGAATAAGATTGATGATTCGAAAGAACAAATATCGTTAGTATCTGTAAAAGTTTTTATTAATAAACACCTAGCAGCTTTATCAGAAGTTCACTTAATTTAATTATCTAAAAATGGAACTCGAAAGTAGACAAAACTACATGATAGAAAAACAAAATGAACTAAAAGAAAAACTAAAACAATTCAACAAATGCAGGAAAACATGGAGTAGAATCGATTCTGTTTTCAAAACATTAAGTACAGTTTTAACAATAGGGATAACAGTGGCAACAGCCGTAACCGGTGGATTAATGCTTCCAATAATTGTCCCAACTGTATTAGCCGCGTTCACTGCCGTTCAAACTTCATCTTGTGGTTTGATTACTTTAGGTTTTACATCAAAACAGAAAGCTTATTATAAAAAGAAAACAGAAATTTTGAATACATATCTTAATAAATTGTTTATATTTTTCGAAAGATCGAGAGAAGACAAGAACATAACAGTTGAAGAATTAGAAAAATTCAATGAAATTTTAGATAAATTTGATGCAGAAATATCATCAATAAAAGTTAAAAATTCCTAGTTAAAATAGTTGCTTTAAAAATATGAATAAAATTGAAATTTTAGACGATAAAAAATTCATATCAATTAAAATTTTAGACGATATTATTGACAAGATTATCTCTGATGAATTAAAAAATATGAATAAAATTGATAAATTTATATCAAATGAACTTTTTTCCGATGTTATTGACCTTATCTCTGATGAATTTATAACATTTAAAGGGCAAATTGAAATAGTTGGAGAGATAACTCAAGACGGAAAGTACAAACAAGACATGAAATTTATAGGTTTTAATACCAAAACTTTTGTCAATTTCTTCATTGGGCTGGATAATAAATCTGATGCCTCCGATTGGTATTTCACAGGAAAAATGATTTTCCATAAAAACAATTTCAAAGAAATAAAAAGATCAAAAAAGGGTAGTGGTGTTACCCTACTCAAAAAGATAAAAGAATATATCGGTATAAATTGTTATATACCGAGCGATGGATACTGCTTTGTAAAGTGCGTTAATCGTGTTTTAAACGAGAGAATTTCAAGATTTCATCAACAGTTTTTCAAAATCAAACAGAAAAGGAGTTATGACAACTGCTAGAATCTGTGAATTCAATAAGAAATTTAATACTAATTTTCAAATTTATATGCCCAAACATAGACATTTTCAACCAAAGAAAGTATCCAAAGAACTAGATTGGGTTTTTTATTTACACAAAGAGCATTTCTGTTTGATAAGAAGAAATAACAAAACCTTAGGCATTAAAGAAATAGAAGATAATTACGATGAAAACGTATGGAGAACTTGTAGAGATGATAAAACGGTAACGCAAGTTTCACCTCTAAAACTAAACGTTTTTCCAACCATTCACGATGATTGTTTATACGCGTGGGATTGCGAAACCTACAACGAAAATAAAGCCATACCTTATTCCTGCAGAATAAATAATCCATTTCCAGATTTAAAGCCGACAGATCCCATTCCAGAAGAATTTTACAACAAACTCATGACTAATATAGTAGAAATATTTGTAGGTACAGATTGCATCGATCAAATGTTACAACGTTTAGGAAAAATAGATCAGAAAAGAATAACATTAATTGCTCATAACGCTAGCGGTTTTGATAACTGGATCATGATCAAAAACGTAAAAAAACTAACACAATGCCCTTTAAAAACACCCAGAGGAATTCTGTCTCTACCTTTAACTAATTCATTCACCGATAAAGACTTACAGAAAAAATGGAAAAGACAGAAAGAAATAAAGGGTAGCTCTAATTATTTGCAAAATATTAATTCACATGTTCCTATCAACACGAATCATCTAGTTTGGCAGCATGGGGAAATTCATCTAATCTACCAATGAATTTGAGAAAGATCGAGGATGTTAATATTGCAAAATACACTAATGATAATTGGGAATCTTTAAGACACGAATGGGAACCTTACGCTAAAAGAGATACGTTATGTCTCGGAGCTTGTTTGATAAAATACAATCAAGCAATGAAAAAAACTGTCTTCCAAAACGTTTCCAATAATCTAACGGCTCCTTCTTTATCTTTAAAGGGTTGGTATTATTCATATCATTACGATAAAGAAATGGTTGAAGAAGAATGGTATGAAAGTACTAGAATGGTTCCCAAACCCTAACCCTAACCCTAGAAAAAGTTTACTCACATACTCACCCTTTTATAAGATATTTTATCAGACAAAGTATTAAAGGAGGAAGAGTCTCTGCTAATAGAAAATCATTTGAAACGGATAAAATGAATGAGATCTGCACCATATTAAAAGAATACAATGAAAGTGACACTGAAGGAATAATAGATTTATTCAAAGAATACAGTGTTAACCCAAAAGATAAAACGGAAGTTCACGCTAAACTCAAAGAACTGGACTATTCTAAACTGATGGCATTTGACGCTAATGGGTTGTACGCTTCCGCCATGACAGAAGGTGAATACCCTAAAGCAGAAAGTGCTAGGGCTTTTCGACTGGAGGAAAATGAAGAATTTGTCAAGCTCTTTAATGAGCAGAAATTCAGACCTAGAACTGCTATTTTAAAAGTCTGGTTTAAATATCCTACCAACATGTTCTTTCAACCCATACCAGCTAAGGTTAATATCACTTTCACAAATAAAGAAGGAAAAAAGGAAACTGGCACTAAAATCAGGTTTAGAAATGGTTTCTGTTCAGATGTTTTAACATCGGTTGATATTCAAGAAATAGTGAAATCCGGTGGTAAAATTATTAAAATATTAGATGGAATAGTATACGAAGAAAATTTTAAAACTCCACCATACAGAGATTATATTTTAATTTTGAAGGAATTAAGGAATAAATACAAAAAAGAAGGAGATATGGTTGCTAGTAATTGCATGAAATTATTAGGTAATTCCTTATACGGTAAATCTATTCAGAAGGATATAAATACATCGAGACATCTATGGAGTGAAGCGACTTTTAAAGCCAACTATGATTCACACGTCAAAAGCTATGAAAAAGTAAATGAGACCCAATATATCATTCAGATTAATGACGAAGAAAAAGAGTTTTTTACTCCAAAGGATTTTACTAGATTAACACCCGCTCATTTAGGTGCATTTATATTATCTCACAGTAAAAAAATAATGAACAATTTCATTCACGTAATAGATGGATTTTATAAGCCGGAAATATACTATACAGATACTGATAGTTTATACATTTCTGTAATTGGGATAAATTAAATGAAGCTGGGTTGGTGTCTTGAAACGAATATAGCAAAGGGAAGAATGATTATGGTGATGGTGGAATCATATTTGGTTTATATTTAGCGCCAAAAGTAAAATACAATATCATTCTAACTTTCGACGGTATTCTAAAAGAAAAGAAAACGTTTAAGGGTTACTCTGACTATAAGATTAAGGTAGAAGACTACATTCAATTAGCTAGTGGACATGATGTAACGAATGAATTTGATAAACCTTGGGTAAAAAGTTTTACTGATGGAATAATTATTCCTAATGAAAAACAAAAGAAAGTTTTCAGAAGTTATCTGAATCTCGTTAAGAGAAAAGCACCGAATGAAGAAGGAATCATGTATCCTTACATCGACGGAAAAAAATTGAACATAGATGAAAACTATGAATTTGATGATCACGATTATCTAACTATTCAAGAAGAGAATGAAGAGTGTGAATTTTTTTGTTTTAAATGAAGTTGAATAACAATTTCCTCGTTACCAAAATCTATAAACCTATTTTTACCATCTTTGATTTCCAGATTTATATCTTTAATCATAAAGGAATTAAGTGGTAAATACGTCGTTTGAAATGGTTTCTCTATAATTCTATATCCTATCGGTACAGTGAATGTTGGAAGACTGTAAATAATCTGACGTTTGTATTTATTGAAAAATCCACCGTTTATCAAATTGCAATGTATATTTATCACATCGATATCATTCTCGATATTAGCTTTGTGTGGTGCTAAAATGGATTGGGTGTATAGTCGTTTATCAAATCCTAGTAACGTATTCAATGAATTTTCTACGTTGAAATTAACTTGACAATTATTTCTTAATATCAATTTTATTTTGTTTAGATTCAAATTACCTTCGATTCAATATTGTTTTTACCGCTCACGCTTCCTGCGTATTCAGATAAGTATTCGTTAATGGCTATGTATTCATAGCTTCCTGTTAGTAAACGTATGGTTTTGAACGTAACTCCGTTATCTGTTGATATTTTTATTTGGTTATTTTTTTCGTTGATAGTTCTAATGGAATTGTAAACAGAGAAATACTTTAACCCCAATTCATATTCTTGATTGCGATCGAGTTCGTACTCATAATCTAGAGATAATTTGATGTCTGATTTATTCGAGGTGATGACGAATTGTTGTTCTTTATTTGACATTTTTTAATGACTATTTTCAATCACGCTTTTATAATCATTTTTATCTATGATACCTTTTTCGAGGAGTCTTTTTAATATACAATTTACCTCATTATATTGTCTGTGTGATCCATGTCCTTCCTTCATTGCCGCTAATATTACTCGTAATCTATTAAGTAGTTCCTCGTTGTTGTCGGATAAAAACGTTATACCTTCTCCAGATACCATATCTTCGAATTCGTCTATTTCTTGTGTGATAGGAGGATGCTCTTCAGCATAATCACCTAACTCCTCTTCATCAGGAATAACTTTATTTAGATATGTTTCAACTGTTTTTAATCTTCTTGTTTCGAGTCCCGACTTTCTTATTGCATGTAGAAATTTTGAGTATGCTAGTAAATCCTTGTAATCGGCGATTTCAACATCCTCGCCATTCATTAAATCTATTAACGCTCTCGTTAATGTAAATATAAAGTCTTTTGTGTCGATTTTGAATTGTGGTGAATTTCCACTAAATCTTATTCTAAAACCATTAAACAATAACCCCACTTCATCAATGATTGGTGTAATACTCTTTGGTAAATCTGGGTAAGGGTTTGAAAAAAGACGATTTATACCTAATTATGATTTCATCATCTTTAATGGGATATTCTATTTGATGAGGTTCTATAGGAGGTGTGGGTTCTATAGGAGGTTTATATTCTAATTTCTTTTTAATATCATCTTGAGATTTTAATATGGGTTGAAATAGAGTTTGTAGATTTTCCGTTAATCCGAGTTGTTGTAATCTGTTATTTTCAACTTGGGTCTTTCTTTTATTCTTAGCTTTGATATATTCTCTATTTCTTTTTAAAATATTATTCCAATCGCTACTCATTTTTAAAAAAATAAAATTAACATATATCTGTCATAACTCTTTCACCCGCAGGTTTTCTAGTATTTACAAATACATATCCATGATCATCTGGATTTCTCCATTGAGCTTTACAAACTTTTTTGAATGTATCTCTGACCATTCCGTGATTTATCGATTGAATGATTTGAGATAAATCTTTGTCGTGATTTATCGATTGAACGATTTGAGATAAATCTTTGTCGTTTAATTCAAATAATAAAAAACAATTTGCATTTTTTCTAATGAACATAGAAGCCATCCCGTAAAAAGATTGGGATTGGTATATGCAGTGACAGTTGTGATGTCTTCCTTTCGTGAAGAATTCTTGTTGAACGGCTTGATTTCTTTGCGCCACGCAGTCGTCAAACACTAGTAAGTTCTTTCGCCCGCTATCAATTTTAGACAAGTCTAGATCATTAACATTTTTCGTAAGAAAAACTTTTATATCCGTTGGTTTCTTTCCTTCGATGTAGTTATCTATGAAATCTTTTATTTCCACTTCTTCTTCGTTTTCTTCGTAATATTGAAATAGGTCTTGAACATCTTTCTTTGGTAGATATTCTAAAGCTTTGAGGAATTGATAATACGATTGCCTAGGTGTTGTTGTGTAGATATACAAAGAATCGAAATCTAAAAGGTTTGCTGTTGTCAACATGTTAAAAGTGTGATGAGTTTTCCCAGAACCGGAACTACCGCATATACACATGAGCATTGGGTTATTAGGAAATATTTCTGAATGATTAAATTTTTACCCATTTTTTATTATTTTAATTTGTTCCAAAGTTCACTCCTTCTCCTTTATACTTTGAAAGATATATTCCTTCTCCAGTGCGTATGTTTTTTAAAAATATTCCATCACCCTTATGTTTGACTTTGATTTCTCCTGTGTCAATACTATCTACTAATTTATTTAATCCTTGTTTAACAGTTTTCTTGGTTTCTTCACTAAATCTTTTTCCAAATTCTTTCATTGTGCCTATCATTTCTCCCACTCCTGAACCTTTGGCCAACTTTTCCATTTTTAAATTATGTCTATGTTCTTCGGTTGCTGTTACTGCAGCTGCTTTCTTTTCGTTGGCAGCTTATATTCCACCAGCTGTAACACCAGCCACTGTAGCCGCCGCGGTAATACCAGCAAATATTAAAGGTAGGGAAAATATAAATCCACCTTTTTTTTACATTTGTATCAATTCTTTCTAAATCTATATCGTCTCTAACTTTACAATATTTGTATTTATCAATAAGTTTTTTAGTTATACTGTTTTTACCGTTGAAAGTTATTACAGTAGGGGAATCTGTTTCAACAGCTTCTATTATTTTCATAACTAAAGTTTCTACTTTCATTTTTAAGGGCATATTTTTTACTCAATTCTTATCATTCTTCTATCTGCTATTTTAATTAAATGTTTTGCTTCGTCCAATAATAAACAATAACCTGTTACATCTCCTTGTGTTTTTTCAATATGAATATTTATGTTCACTCCTGTTTTGAAAAGATCTTCTTGGTGAGCTGATAGATCAAAACAGAAGATTGGATGATTAAGTGCAAAATCTACATATTCAAACTGAGGTAGATTTTCAAATAATTCACACATATTTTTATAGTTTCTATACAATTCATTATAATCCTTTGTGGTTGGATTAATTGTTAAAGGTTGGTTAGGATAATTATCATTGTTTAATCTTACTTGAACTTTATGGATTAAAGGATCTTGAGTTTGGTTCATTGCCACTCTAAAGACATTATTGTTATTCGTTTGAGAATCTGGTAAGTTCTTGAAACCAACTATTAAATATCTTGCTGGTTTAATAGTGTTAGTGATTGGCCATGTAGTGGATTCTCCCGTTAAAGTCATGCTACCTACCGTATTGCGATGAAGAAAAGCTATTTCAATATCTTTAGTTAACGAGTTGAATATTTTCGTTTCTACTTCAATTGGTGGTGTTATTACGGGTATGAAAAGTTGGAGATTCGTTATTTCTAATTTTGCATCTGAACCATTCTCTCCAAAGAACATCTTATCGTTGTTGATTTTTCTTTGTAGATGAATTTTATATGGTAACCCTATAGAAACTTTTCTATGTTCCAACAGACCGAATAAAGGATATAATTTCCAATTTACGTAATTACCCCACCTATTATTCTCAACAACATTATTATACTGAAATACTCGTTTTTCGAATCCATGATTAGCTGCTCGTGCTACTCTTTCTATTGTGTTTCGAGCAACAACTCTCACTCTATCTAAATCGGCATCATTTGCAACATTTCTTACCGGTTCTTTTAAAACACTTCCATCGCCAACATCGGGTATCCAACCTGAGACTGAATCGAAATCTTTAGGATATAAAACTGTTTTCAACATTGTGTCGAATTCCCCAGGATGTTTGATTGTTTCTATCGGATTTGAACCAGCTTCCAAAACCATCTCGCTAGATAAAGATTGTATTTGTTTGTGGAACACGATTTCCATTGGGAGTTCCATCTTTAATTTTGAAATCGCATCTGAAATAAGCATCGGAAAGAAGCAACCAATTCGATAATGAATTTATTTCGAAGGTAATTCTACCACCATCATTCAATTGGGATTTAGAACCAACAGTGGGTGAGATGATAATATAATCCTCTTTTTTCTTGTTAAACGAATAACGAATCGGATCGTATAATCTAAAGATTGGATCAAGTATTTTATTTGCCATTTTTAAGGTTTAAAATTTGAGTAGAATTTCTCCTTCTACATTATTTTAATATGCTTTTTTTGATGGAATGTAGGAAATTGATTGAAGGTGTTTTTGGTGTATGAAATGTAGGGAATTTAGGGTGTAAGTATTTATAGGGAGTTTAGGTCTTTTTTAGTGTAAGAATTTATGAAATGAAGGGTGTTTAGGTTTTTTTTAGTGTAAGAATTTATTAAATGTAGGATGTTTAGGTCTTTTGGTGTAAGAATTTATGAAATATAGGGAATTTAGGTCTTTTTAGGAGGTTATATATCTATAAGCCCATATACTACTCATTTATACTTCCAAAGGAGACCATTGAAAAAATTGGCCATTTATCAAAAATTAGCCATATTTGCTATCCGTCACAGGCGAAAGAAATGTTGATAACTATGTAATGATTCTATTCATTACACGACTTTTTAGAGGCTTTATTTGAATAAGAAATGAATTACAAATTTTTCAATCAATCCAAAAAATTGGCCGGCCACTGAAGTAATGACGAAGTGTCAATTGTATAATTTAGGAGATAAAGTTTACTAACGCAGAATATTTCATAATGAAGGCGAATCAAAGGAATTTGCTGATAGGTGAAAAGGCCCATATGAAGTTATAAATCTTTTAGGTGATGTAACTTACGAGATTATAGATCACAAGTCTTACCATAAAGTTGTGGTTCACTTTAAAAACCAGCTTATACTCGCGATGAAGATAAGAATGATGGGACGCAGAATCTTCTGAACATACCTGTAATCCGAGACGTTTTTCTACAATACCCAAACCTGAAGTCCGTTTTCACCCATCGAATAATTAGGTGTTTCTTAACGGAGAGGGGATGTTATTAAGTTTTATATTCATTTTCTAAAAACGTAATGTAATAATCAAAGTGCATAATGCATATTGATGAGAGTGTGTGCGAATGAATATTATAGAATAGTGAGTAATGCGTAAGAGAGATTGGTTAGTGATGGCGGAATAAAAATGTAAACAAAAAGATGTCTTCTTCTTTCCCATCAATGCGAGAGGTCTCCACAGGCGTATAAAGAACTTTCACATAGATATTAATTTATTAAAACATGTAAGCCTAGGCATTAACTTTGGCACAAATAACATGAATACATATGAAAACATGGAATGGACGATGAAAATTTGTTACACAAGACTCTTCAGGAAACCTCGTAGTTCAGAATACACATTTCAGCGACACTTTTTACGGTACCTGAAAAAAGCGACCTCAGCACCTCTAGCTACCATTTGCATTGCTATTGAGAGGCTATACAATTATAACTTTTTGGGATGGCATTATATTTATATGCATAGGGCATAGTCTGGCATATCCATAGATTTGTATAATGATATAAACTATACGACTCTATGAGGCATACCTTACTAGGCCTAAAGGGGCCTTTACATACGTTTAAGCACCAGACATATCCGAAATTAACAGTTGTGTCAAATTGTAATTGCATGTTAGGCTTGTAGCTACAAGGGTTGATCATTGTCCCCCTGAAAAAATTCTGACAACCAACCAATTCCATTACTTACATAATTTGATATTCATATACCAATTTAGATTTAATAATTCTCTGCAATTCCTGTGATCAAATTATATTACATTGACCGTGGGTACAGCAAGGAAGCTATGCATGCAACATGATGGCAATATGTATAGCTAACGCATATGTGATGAAGGTTGGTGATTAAGGTTATGTTACCGTACATTTTGCAAATATATTGTGCACCTGTTGACTGTCTGTTACAGTCGTGCTGCGTGCCTGTTATGATAATGTTGGTTTTGGTCACTTTTATCTATTTTGCTTTAGCGTCCCTGTTGCATACATTCACAAAGAATCATTGAACATTTCCCGAAATTACCCTGCATGCACAGTCAGAGTAGATCTTATTGAATTCTAAGACAGAAAATAGTAATGAAAGTATTGCTTACACAGGATATATTTTTTTCACAGTCAATGACAAACTTTGATTTTGACCCAGCTGAAATGGCTAAATTTGTTGACGATTATGCCAGAGACAACCCAGAAGCCTTTGCTGAGTTTTCTAAAGAAATGGAATATAATATGAAGAATTGTGAAAATCGTGAAGAAGAAATTTGTAAATTACCAAAAGAAGATACAGTATGGTTGATTGTAGAACAACCCACAAGTATGTCCATAGAAAAATGTACCTTTATTGAATGGATATTATAGGATCAAAATTTTCCTGTCACAAAGAATGCCTTTAAAGCTAGTAAATATTTTTGATCAATTAGATCACCATAGCTACAACTTGCTATGTATATAAACATTCATCATGGCTTAGCTTTGTATGAGTAGGTATGTACAGAATTTGTTTTTGTGATTATAAGTATTTTTAACATTATTTGAAAATTCATTATTAAGCCACTTGAGATTTAAGACTCATTCTTGGCAGCTGGTAGTGGGTGTATGCTACCATGCTTGGCAAGCTAACTTTACACATCTAGTCGACCCATACCTGAAATATCCATCAGAAGTATAATAAAGAGTCAGCAGACAGAAGGGGCAATATCCCATACATTTCATTATTGAATGCATGAATTCTACTGTTCAATTATAGGTCAAATATTCTTGATTTATCCAAGTTAAAAATTAGGTACATTAATCCGGATTCTGCAGATAGAGTTTTGCCTGATCCAGAATTGGAATATGTGAGAGAATGTTCTTCATGGAGAAGGAGGGGTTCCCCTGGTCTCTTTAAAGAATGGTAGTTAATTTCAATTTACTTCATAGTTTTAATGAAACTCACACATGATGACTTCAAGAAAGACATAGAATTCTAGTGATACACTATCATTTGACTGATGTTCAACTTAGATACATTTTCAGTAATTTCCTTCTTATTGTTTCTATCAATATTGGTTTTGGTCTTGCTGAAGTGTTTTATTTTCAGTGCTGCTTGTACAGGATCAGTGTACTGTTCTAAAAGACTGTCAAACTCGTGATTGGAAGAGGACAGATGAGTTTAAAGAACATGGACATAAAAAATGGTGTAAATTGATCAAATCCTACATAGCCAAAACAGATGAACTTTCAACATTTCCTTTTACATTCACTAAAGGTATTGTTTATTGAAGTCACATAGCAGTAGATACCTTGTTATATAGCCTAAATCTGCTTTTGCCCTTGAATGTGTATGTGGGGCACGTTTGGCTTGTTTGCTCAACAGTAGTAATAGTCTTTTCAGATTTGACGCATTAAAAATGTTGAATACTTGGAAGAATTTAATGAAATTTCGGATAAATTTGATACAGTCAACAATACAAAAACAGAATATATCAAACTAAAAATAATGACTAAAAAAAGATGATCAAAAATGATTTTTTAGATAACATATTATTTTCTAAAGTAATCAAAGATGTATGTGATAAGTTTTCATCATTTAAAGGTCAAATTGAAATAGACGGAGAGAGAAGTGAGGCTGGAAAACACAAACAATATATGAAACTTATCGGTTTCAATTTGGTAGAGGAACTGGTAGGTGGAAATTGTTACATACCAACAGATGGTTACTGTTTTAATGCGCCCACGTGGAAATGTGGACATATATTGCCGTCGCCCCTGTCCGTCGGTCCGTCCGTCCGTCCGTTGATATTTCTTGTAGGCGCGATAGAGGCTACAGTTGTTATCCGATCTTGAAGAAACTTGGTATGTATGTATATATTAATGAGATTGCGGTCATGTTCAAAAATGGTAATAATCGGATGAACGATTTCGGAGTTATTACCCCTGACTTAGAAAAACGCGTCAAATTTGCATTGTAGGCACGATAGAGGCTGCATTTTTTTCCCGATCTTGATGAAACTTGATAGGATCTCGGTCAAGTTTTAAATTGGTAATGATTGAATTAACGATTTAATGGTATTGATGAAACTAGATATGTATATATATTGATGAGATTTCGGTCAAGTTCGAAATTGGTAATATTCGGATGATGAACAGTTTCAGAGTTATTGCCCTTGTGTGTACAGCGATGAGACATTGTTCATGTTTGAATTTGATGATGATTTGATACACTGTTTCTGGTTTTTTCTTTGACTTATAGTTAATTTTAGGATTATTTGAAAATTCATTATTAAGCCACTAAAGATTTTTTTTCATTTCTGACAGCTGGTAGTGGGCGTATGTTACCTTGCCTGGCAAGCTATCTTATCAGGTGTGTTTTGAAAAAGGATTTAACAAAAGAATTTCAAGAATTCATCAACGGTTTTTCAAAAGCAAATGGAAAGGAGTAATGACATGTGCTAGAATTAATTAATTCAATAAGAGATCTAATGCTTCGTTTCAAATTTATAATCCCAAAAATATACATATATATCCCAATTTATATGAGGAACTAGACTGGGTTTTGTACTTACGTAACTTATATTTCTATCTCATAAGAAAAGCCAACAAAATGTCGGGAATTAAAGAAATAGAAGAAAATTATGAAGTATGGAAAATATGTAGAGACGATAATGCTGTTAAACAATGCTGTCTTACCTTTGAAACTAAACGTGTTTTCAAATATGAGTGATGATGCTTTATACTATTGGGATTGTGAAACATTTTCCGAAATTGAAACACGTATAGGAATTCCTTATTCCTGTTCTTTAGTTAATTTGGAAAAACTAAGAAAGAACGTAACTTTCCAGGCTCTACTGATAATAATATTCGAGAAGAATTTTATGATAAACCAATGAATATACGCCATGGACTGTGCCTCTCAAATGTGCTTTAAAATGACTTTTTGTAGCACAACCTGGAGACTGCTTTTTCTTACCTGGAATCTATTCCTAAATGTTATAGCTAACTAAAAATCCATGTTCCCACTTTCAGAAAGTGCCACAACTCCATATTTCAGCTTTTAAAGATGCGCATTGTGAATTGATTTTTATACAAATCTATAACTTTAATGAGCTATGAAACATATACTCTGTGAGCATGAAAATTCAGGATTTGTTGAATATATGGTGCAGTCTAGTCTGCACAGTTAAAAAAAAATAGCAATGCCATCAGCTTTGATTTTAAATATTTGGCAGTAAGCTTACAGTAACAATTACCAGTATGAAATATTCAACCTTCAGTCGTACATTTCTTTTGAACTTTTTGGAGCGATACTGTATAATATATATTACCAAGTTTCGTCAAATCTGTCAAGAATTGGGCCTGAGTGTTTAAAGGCTAAAATTAGAATGCTTTTTTAAGAACAAGGGCAATTACTCAAACTAATATTTTTCTCAGCGGACCTATGGACATGGGTGACGACAATATATGCTCCTCATTTCATGTGGGCGTATAAAAATGGAGTGAAATGATATATGAACTTCTCAGTCTGAAATCTAATTACATGGAAATTAAAGATGGGTTCCCTCATTTTCATTTATAAAAATCAAAATGCTAATACTTATATGAATAGAAAGTAGAGGTGTTCTAATGACTTGGAAAAATACCAGTTTGTCTCACATGTCCATAATTAATTCATAATTAGCTAAATTAGAATAGAATCACCAGCAGAATTCCAATGAATGACCGAGGTCAAAAAGTCTTATTTTTTTTGTTTAACCAGACATCCATACATGGATGTTTATGATTGGTTCAAACTCTTAATTATATGTAATAAGAACATACTGATGTGATTAATCATTCATAATCCACTAAAGTAGATAGAAACATTAATAAAGAAACAGCATTTTTGTTAGGAGATGTAACCTAAAATTGTCTTTTTGGAATAACAACATTTCACGAATAAGAAATATGGATGATCCAAACAGAAACTCTGATTTTCTTATACATAGACCAACACAAATTTTAATATAAAACTTGAATTAATTCAATTTGAATTTGATGCATAGACAAAAGCATAGCACTAAAAGAATACAAAAAATACAACGATTTTACAAATACAATTTTAACCACACAATTAAGCACATATCAAGTAAATGTTTACATTCAAAAGTGTCTTAAAGTTTAAAGGCACATGTAGGCCATTTTGATCAATCATACTTTATTCTCAGAAACGGGATTTTTTTTAGCTAAGCTAGTAATTGTTCATGTTCATGTGTGTCCAGAATTATCCGTCATTTTAAGATACTCTGTGATATAGAAAAGACATAGAAATAGTGAGAAAAATTCCTAGTTTTTATGCTAGAACTTATGCTAGCTAGTACTTCTGAAGACTATTTACATATATTATTCAAGACTAAAATCAACCCCCCAAAATGCTGCACCTGTCCCTAGAGTTTTTAATGAATTTTACTGAACAGAGATTATGGTGGTATTTTTCAAAAATAATAAAAAACATAAAACAATATACACATTATCAAGAGCTGATAAGTAGTTAATCAGCAAATAATCATACAAATAATAAACACAAATTATAATATAAATAGTTTGTTAATTTTGATTTTGATCTATAAATGTTCCTGTACTAAATTCCTCAAACTATACAGGCCTTTAATAAAATAGTCCTGACCAGTTAAGACTATCATGCTGTCAATGTTGATGGTATGTTTTATTTTTTGTTGTATATCATGCTGTCAATGTTGATGGTATGTTTTATTTTTTGTTGTAGAATAAAATTTTGATGTCGAGAAGAGATATTGAAGGCTAAAATTGAGTTCTATCAACTGGTTAATCAAATATTTAAAAGGATACTACCTCTTAGATTGAACATGAATTTAAAGTCTCAAACTTGGTCAACAAGTGTACATATTACCAGGTGCTATGACCCAAAGATTTAATCTCTATATAAGACGATACATCCATTAAACTAAACAATTATTGAAACATGCTTTCAAGCAAAAATAACAAAGTTTAATAAATCATTACTTAGTTTTATGGCTTTATTGGATTAAAGAGGGATTCTGTTGTATATGGTAATGAGTCAGACACCAGGTCAGTCCACTGATAAACAAGGACTCATTTGAACCAAGTTTGAAACTTTAAATTTTTGGGTTTATTGGAAGAACTGCATACAATGTCTAACTTTGACATTTGCAAATTTACTTTTACTAAACTCTAAGCAATGTCAATATTTCAGTACCTTAAACTGTCCGAGATCTTATCAATCCTCATGCTTACCATGTTTTATTCACATCATACCAAAACAGTAAAGCTTATGACGTGCCAGAAATATTGACAGAGGGATCTACCGACTGACCGACCTATACTGGGGCTATGGTAACATACGACTTTTGAGTTGACAAAATATAAATAGCAACTTTATCAGCAACTTGTTACTTTTTACGGTAAGCAGTTAGGCGGGGTTAATGGTTACAATTAAGTGCGACTTCATATAATATAATCAGTCCAAATATATAATAATGAAACACTTACAATTTATCAAAGCCACATCAACCATTATTGAGAAGTTCAGTAGTCTAATGATTATGTACAAAATTATATATATTATGTATAAATCATATGATAAAGCACATGCTGCACACGAGTTTAGTATATGTTATGATAAGTAATATATATACATATGTCAGAATTTATAGTAACCCTCAAATTTTGAATTGTGAGACACAATTTGTTTTACTTGTTATACGTGCAATATTTGAAAGTTTAATATTAGTTCTAATCGTTCTATCCAGTCGTCAATATGATCATCATTCATGAATATAAATTTATATTCAACACCATCTTTCGTTTTCATCCATAACTCTTTAGCATCTGATGAATAGAAATTAAAGATGAATAAATATGATAATCTCAGAGAATTTTGTATAGCTAATTTAAAATATAAGCCCAGAAGCAGCTTTGATTGCAAGTACAAATCATTGTTTGTAGTACAGTGAGCATGAGCCAATTGTGAACAGACGGACGAATGACACCATGCTTCCATACTATTTGTGGTCATATATAAATCAATTGGATTTTCAATGACTGCAAGCAACTGGTTGCACTTGGAGTTTCTGATCAATTGTTGAGCAGTTGTCTTCAGCTGATCAAATTTATGTATCTATAGAACTATATACAGAAATAAACCAGGAATACTTAAACATGCTTAAGTAGTCTTCGTGAAGTTCTAACATATTTGACATTTTGTTGCAACGGAATCATTTCCTCACGGTGTATATACACACACATATATATATATATTTATAATGGTCTTCACATGCGGTTAACACTATTCCATTAACGCTTTTAACACTTGAATTCACGCGATTAGTCAGTCTTGAATGTGTGCTCACTACTTAAACAAAAGAAGTGGGTTGTATATATTTGTGACGGTCCATTTGGTCCATCTAATGTTATTGGTTGTAGTTAAACCTTACATTTTTATTACCAAAGTGCCCCCAAAGTATATGTCATTCTGATATTATCTTCTAGCTAATTGGTCATAATTTCTCATAAAAGTACGAGTGCCTGCATGGATTTCAATAAACCCTGTCATTCTTTAGTGACCATTCTCTTATATCGTTCTTGATCGGACAATAACGTTGTCAATTTCACAGATTGACAAAACTTCTATTGGGAATCGTTCAATGATAAATATTGTCTTGTTTTTTTATTTTGGAACTGTTGTCGAGTTTGTCTTGCTAATTGTCTTAAAAATCAATCAACCCCACTAAATAAAAATTACATTTAGTCAGATTTACACTCACCAGAATTGAAATCATTAATAAAATGAACATTGGATATGGTTTTCAGATCTATGGTATTAACTTCTTTCTTCCCACTCATGGACCATTTTAATACCGAATGATTTTGACCCTCGTCTTCAGTTAATGATATCAATACTTCGTCACGGCGTCCATCTACCCCTACTTTTATGAAGAAATCTACAAAAAAAAGAACTTGTAAAAACATACAAAGACAATTAAAAAGTGTAAATATGACATCGTTTGGATTTCTAATTTCCCCGTCTATTCATCTTTATTACAAATTGAATAAAACTAGAGAATCTAATATAAGAATTATATACATTGTCTGAAAATTAGACCACCCTTCGTCCAAGTATGATAGTAACTTACCAAAAAGATCAATAAATTCCTTATTTTGAAGAATATGGTTCCTTAGTTGATTGATACCGATGTCCGACCTGCCACTGATGAGTCTCAGGACCTTTGCCAAGTTTTCTAATATAGCATTGGCATCAGTTTGAGAGTATGTGTCAGTGGATGCTTGCAGCTGAAGATACAAAATAGTTCTGTGTTTGTCAAAGAGACATTCTAATGAAGTTTCATGAAACATTCCAACATCTCTAATTTTTCCCTCTGATATAACCTTGTCGGTTTTTCCTTCTGGAATCCTTTGAACCACCTTATGTCGCATGACATTCTTGCGGTCAGATTTTTTAAGAATGTCACAAATGGCTGTAAAAGGAAATGCGGACATTGATATACATTCTTGTATTAGAACTTCATTTTCAACCAAAAACTTTTCCACGATCTGGTCGTTCTTGATTGGTATCTTAGCAGTTAATGGTACAAGGTTTGTCATAGACTCCACCAAATTGTCAGCTCCTGTAATTTTCTTTCTGAGGTCTGTTTCAGTCAGAATGGTGACATATTTTGATTTGGAGTGAAAAGATAACATAAGTTGATAAACTGAGATAATGAGACCTATCAACGAGATGTTCTTCTGAGCTGCCATATTTATTATCTTTCCACTGGTGAATTTTGTAAATGAGAGATATGAATAATGAAATAGTTCACCGGACTTTTTAAGTATAGGTTTGATAGTGATATCAGCGAAGGATGCTTTAGTTATTCCTTTCTTTAGCTTTTTACTCCAAAATTCAGAAAGTGGTGCGAAATTGGACGTTAAGTAACGATCCAAATCGTAAAATGGTTGTCTAGAATGAAGGCAATTAAATTCGGGAACTTCTTTCTTCAAACCAAGTCTTTTAAGGATGGAAATAAAGTTCCTTACAAAAATTTCAACAGCTTTGTAATCGAAACCAATTCTATGAAAAATAAAACGAACAACCAAGTATGGTTCGACAGAAAATGCAAATTTGACAGGAGCTCGTGTTTTCAAATCAAATGTTCTAATTGGTGCAGAGTGAAACATAGTTGTATCTTTCAGGTTCAGAATGACATGACAATCCAAAGCTTCTTTGATATCCAAAATTTTCCTTCCAACCAATGTATCATTTGTATCTTTTTCTTTAAATGTCTCGAAGCCGGTGTGACCAATTGGATGAAGGGAGAGAATCAACTTCAATAATTCCACGACTTCTTCCGGAAGTAGTACCAGATCATGGAAGTGCACTTCTTTTGATATCATCAGTGCTTTACTGTCTGGATTTTTAAGATATAAATTGTAATAGAAAAATTCCATTGGTGAAAGTCTTCTTTCTTTGTTGTCTAAGTTATCTTTATTTTCATCCATCTTGAATTGTGTCTCTTCTCTGATTTTTCCTGACTATGTTTAACCTTATTAGAACAGTTTATATATTACCATAAAAATCACTTTCGTAAGTATGTGTCGACAAAACCTAGGTTTTATAGTATCTTATATATTTCTCAAATCTGAAAAACATTATCTAGTGTGTCCTAACAGTCTATACTTCACATCGTTAATAAATCCACAATCGTCGTAGTCATAAAATGTAAAACGTTTACTTCAACTCACTGCGATAAGAAGGATGCTCAAAAGAGCATTCCTTGGCTCATGCCTGAATATTATTAAACACAAATCACTCGTAATGTATAATATGTTTTACACAGCATTGCTATACGTAACGCCCTAACCTAGCCCAGCAAGTTTTTAGGGTGTTGTTTTCTTTAGATATAGAAATAGAATACATAGAAAATATGAGATAGAGATGAAGAGGTTTCTTGGACCGTAACGTACATTATAGTAGATTATAATTGAGTATAATAAATGCATACGTCAATTATGAATACTGGTACATGTATAGGTATGTTAACGTAAAACATATTATGGGTAATGGGTTTAAACCTTGATATGATATCGGGGCTACAGAGTTTTTGTATTCTGGGAATACCTATAATACGTCCCTTTACCTGCCCTCCGTTTAGTCAAGGCTATAACTCTTCCTTAGATAAAGTGGTTGAAAGATTTCATATGACATTGTATTGTTTAGAAATGATACAATGAACTCACGAGTTTCAGGCTGTGAATAATATTGTTCAAATATCGAGATACTTTGAGCATCTATCCTTACTGAAGTTTCTCGATCACCACCAATCTACATCGAATTTTTTTATATATTATTTAGAGAAAGCTAACAATAATTAATTGCGAAATTGAGAAATAAAAAGATAATTAAACGTACATATAATCATTTAGATCAATAACCTTTGGTGCGGATCTGCTTGGCAAATTCAGTTACTTCATAAATACAGGAACCGGGAGAAAGATTGTCTTTAATTCCAATAACAAGACAACATCGACTCTTGTGAGCCACTAGAATACGATCGTCAGACTTTCCTACGAGAGTTGGTTTACCATTGTGAATAAAACACGTACAAAGAAACATATCGTCACTGATATTAATTTTCGTTAAATACGGAAAGTGCGTGTTTAGAATGTTCAGAATTATCCATACATCACAGATGGGTATGTTCCAATTTGGTGATTTAGCCAAGATATTTCCATCTTCTTGAAAAATAACAGCTGAGTCGACTTTTCCCCGGCTTATTAAACATTGTAGTAAATTTTTCCAGATCATGGTCACACGTACGAATTGTTGCTAAATAGTTTTTTAAGGAATTATAAAATCAAAATCAATAGTTTTCTTTAATTCTTGCATGGATTTAGTCCTCTCTTGGTGGTAAAAGACGATCTGAAAAGTCTGGTTATTTAAACGTAAAGTATTATCTGTCTGTCACGACGTACATTTCGAACTCACGTTCGTCTTCATTATACTGTCTCTACTCACCTAAAAAATAAAATATCAATGACAGTATATAATCTCATTACATTTTAAATGACTCTCTGAATTATTTGTACACTTTCTACACAATCGTAATAGACTTCAATTAATAATCATAAGAATTTAAAGCGATCAAGATCATTGATAATTGAATGAACAGTATAGATTTAAATGATCAAAAAATAATAAACCAATTTCTTTTTAGACAAGAACTATACAAGTTTAGTGAGAAGTCTTGTCTTACGATCTTACCAAAATATACAAGACTACCAAACTGTACCAATTTAACCATCAATTTTTTTTATCACATTAATTTAGATGGACATTTTGTTTAGCAATTATTCAGTTTTGTCTAATCAATTAGGATTTCATAAAATATCGGTAGCAATTCAAAATTTTCCGGTTACCTATATAATAATATAATAATAACAAAAAATACTAATATTGTAAAATAAGATAAATGGATCCAGCTATTTCTAGGCTTAAAGTTTATAGTAACTGCCGCCCGGGGGGAAGTTCACTAGATTTTGTTACAATTTTCATGAAATATATTACTAGGTAGTATTTGTACAGACGACTACAAATCGTCGTGTGGCTAATCGTACAGATTGAATCGCAAAAAGGGTTATTTGAGTTGCAAACTATGTTGTCACTTAATTTGAACACTGAAGTTAGAAGAACAGACAGGACAGTAGAAAGGGACAAGGAGGGGTTTAAGATACAGTGGAGAGGAAGAACAATAAAGAGGGAAATGAAAGAAGAAAAGAAGAAGAAACATAGGCACTAGCATGGAGCAGTTATTGGGGTAGGGAAGTTTGAGATAAAAGGTAGTGGAAAATGAAGGGGTAATGCATTGAAATCCAAGGAAAAGGTGAAGTGAAAAGGGGGTGTAGAACGGAAGGTTCCATGATCGGAGCGAAGGGATAAAGATGAATTAACCTGGAGGAGAGACTGAAAAACTTGATTTTAGGTGCAAGGCAATGTTATTAGAAGTAACAAGCAGGGTTGGGGTATAAGATAGTAGTTAGGTTAAAAATGTATGTTACACAGCAGTGGATAGGTATCATCAAAAGGGGTTTTGAAAGTAGTCAATGGGCATTTTCTTCTCTTGAGAGATACTCATTGTATCATCGTGCAATGCTACGAATTATAATACTCCGAAGACTTACTTTGGGTCGCCACCACCTTCGTTTTTTTCTTGGATTTTTAGAAAAATTCAAAAGTAGCCTCAATGGTCAAGTAAAATGCATTGAGTTTCTTCCCTTGAAATAAAACGTATAAAAAACGTTACTATTTAAATAATATAGCCTAAATTGAACCCTGGTGTGAACCATTTGAATATCATTTACCTGGAAGGTTGCTTGCTCTTCTCTCTACTATATAGGTACAAACACTAACGTTAGTTATATCCCTAAACCTATTACCCAACAAACGTGTGTAGAGGTCTATCACTGTAGAATTCTTATACATAACCAGCCCAACCTAATATATAACTATTGCATTAAATTGTTTTCACTATTAAAACAACGTTTCAACTTCCTTAAAACATACTGAGGGAAATTAATTCATATATTGACGTTTGTGGTGACAATATTTGTTAAGAAATTATTTTTTCGGGGTAAGATAATTATTCTTGTAAAAAATAGTATAGGATGTTTAAACAAACAACAGGTTCATGACCTTGCCGATATGAGGGTCAATGAAGTACATAATTTTATTTGTATTATTTGAAAATGCATGTTGCTAATTTGACAAAGGCTGAATGATGTAAAAATCTAAAAAAAAGTGGGCATGCATATCTTTTTCAACATCCTTTAAGGAACCGATGGATATAATCTTGTAGGGAGCTTCAAGTCAGTGCTTCATTTATTGGATTGTGACGATTGATTGCCTCGTTCAGAGCCTTAACACTCATTGCTACAGTCTAATAATGGATATGTACAGTGTACTTCAATGAATCCACTTTGATCCAGCGACGACCAGGGACGGAATTGGTTAAACAGAATTCCACCCCTTTACTACGCAAATTTGATAGTATTGGTGTATTTAGTGATACTTCCCTATAAAAGCACTAGGCCTAATATAGTGTGCGATGTACACTGTTATGTAAAATTATGTGTAACGTGTCACGCTACAGTGTAAGTCTAGACCTGTCAGAGCGTTTAGTAATAACCTGTCATAAAGTTAAATAAATAAGACAATTTTATGGATAGATACTTCTGGTATATTATTACTTCAACGTTTCAATGTGGTTCTCACACCGTGAGTAACCAGTAACATAAATATATATACAGGTAACAATGATAATGAAAACAAACAACAAAGGCAAAGACTTGTAAAAAGAGACATAATTTAGGGATTAAAAAGGGGGGATAATCAAAACAATACAGTTTCCCTTAATCTGGGTAATTGGTATCCTTGATCTCTGTTTGTATTTTTCTTATGATGATACTTTCGTGGTATTTACGGGTGGCATCATCAAGGAGGTTGGTAAGAAGGGCTTCTGATTGATTGCATTGGATGATGGGACCTGGATTCTCGATCAGATGCTAGCTTAATTTTCCATTGGCCGTGTGGCATGATGTCTTGTGCTGTCTTACTCTCATTTGGAGTGGTTGCTTATTTTTACCTACATATGAGGCACCACAATTACATTTAATTTGGTAGACGATATCTTTCAGCATATATTTGCAGATAACAGTAACAAACAATATTGGATATCAAGATAATTTTTAAAAAAAAGTTTTTTGGGTAGATTTTCATCTTGAACGAACAGTTTTTTTTTTAGCCATTTCCAATGCTTCGACATACGAGATAACGGGCGCGGGCTCTGGATCTTCTGTGATAGATTCTTTTTTTAATTTTGATGGAGTATGGATCATTAAATAGGTCTTCATAACAATTACGAGTTTTCAGATTCTATATGATTTCATACAAAAACGGATTCTCCAACGTCCTAACCAACCATTCGATGCGAAAAGAATCTGTGATCTTTGTTTCATTTGCAAACCGGAGTGCCTTGGCTTGAATAATCGAACCAGGAACAGGAACTCTCTCAGCAAAAGCCTACTTAAAACCATTTAAAAACATGTTCATTAACGTCTTCAAACCGGCACCGGTATCCAAAGCGTTGTTTGAACCATTTCCCGTATTTTCATGTTGTAAGTAACTGTCCTTCTTGCGAATTATGTCACCAACAGTTACTGTAGACCTACTAATCTTATATTTCTTCGCCAAATCAACTTGAGAAAATTTTGGCAAATCTTTGACGAGATTGATCTTCTCAGCAAGATTAAGTTCTACTCGTTGTCGTTTTCTTGGGCGATCAATGATTGTGGTGAAAATCTATGAAGATCTGTCATTTTATTGTAAATTCCAGATTGAGCGGATGGTCAAAATGTCGATCCACGTACAAGCACGATTTTATGCGTTTTATGTGAATGGAATAAAGTTCAATCAAAAAACAATGGAAATTGATTTTTTAATAGAAGCAGTGATTAATCGTTTACTTTGATAATTATTTTTTTGCAAGGTGCATATTATAAGTAATTAGACAAGGACTTTTAAAATATGCCGGTTAAGAGGATGTGGTGCAATTGATTGGTGTGTAGGAGATTTACATTTACACGCACATTATGTATTTTCACAATCTTTAATTGTACCTCTAAATTGGCTTCTTCTGCATTCGAAATTTTTCATTTATAGATCAAGATTTTATAAAATAATACCAACTAGCCAAGCTCTAATTAACTATCTCATCGATTGAGTATTCTAAACTTTAAACAGTTAGTAAAATAACGGAATAAGATGTGATCGAGATCTATTTTGAGTGTTTCTGAAGAAGGCAGTAAGCCGAAACGTCAAATAACAGGACAATAATATAGATAATATTGTAGTTGAAAGATATCTCCAAATGAAAATGAATAACGAAACTTTAAATGGCAATTGGGATATTCTATTTGAAACCTTACAAGAACTCAAAATATCTTAATTATAAATCACACGAAGTACACTACGGAGTGACGTATAACTTTCCTCTAATTTATACCGGTCACCTATTTCTATTTTTCAATCTCTTCACTATCAACTCTTTCATTAACTACACAAAGTATAGTATCTTTTTACACTATATCTTTACATGTATTTTCATTTGACCCATGTTATATGTAATATGATATAATAAGTAAATATTATGTAAGGTATATGTTCATGTTTGTATATTTTTTAAATAAACTATACTACTAGAAGAAAAACAAACAAACAAAAATGTATTTTCACATGGTATTCTCCTTGCTGTTTATTTTCAGAACCGATTATATATATTTACCGGAAGAAGGATTCCTTCCACTTCCAGAATGCATGATCGTACTTACTTAGAAAAATCAAACACCCATTTAAACTGTGCATGATGTTTAGGAGGAGCCGATGTCGGTGTTGCACGTGCAGTCTCGTAGGTTGACCTCACAATCCCATTTCTCGTCATTGATTTTTATAGGTAGCATGTTTTATTTTCACTTTGAGAATCGGTAAACTACTGACAAATATTTACTATCCACATTACTGTGAAAATAACTGTTGCACGTTTTCCTGGCTACCTGGATTAAAGGGAGATAAATGATCATAAATTTCATGTATTGAAATCAGATAAATTTTGAATCATATTATACATGATTCTGTAATAGTTGAATAGTTCCTATTCAGGCTGCAAGTTTAAGTTTGATACCTCCTCAGATAGTATATTAAACATTTGATAAAGAAAAACATTGTGGTAAAAATATCCATTCTTTAACAAAATATATACAAGCAAAGACAACAAATATATTAAAAACTTAGAACAACATTCAAGAGAACACGTCCTGATAATATGAAAGTGGTTTCAGTTCTATATTTCACATTTTCCTCCAGTGTTTTACTAATAACTGAATTGACAACATATTATTTCAGGCAATCCAGGCCTATTTCTGTAAATGTGGAAGCAGATCAGTTTGTTTTCAGCATTCCACACGAGAATCAAAGATGATACAAAATGTTCAAATGGACAAATCTCACCGGAGCAGTTCTTTGATGATTTTACAATTTTAACAACAATAACCTAATTCCCCACCAACATAACTCTTGAACATAATTGACAAACAATAACTTTAAAATAAAATAACAAATAATAGCACACAACAAATCTTGGATGTTTTAGTTTATATATAAAACATTGGCGCCACATTAAACATCTACCAGAAGGACAAATTAAGTCCTTCAGAATTCATCAAACATGTAAGACTTAATATCGGAGCAATGAAGCCATTATCAGAAATGTCAATCAACTATGAATCATAGGTTTGTTTTATCTTCATAAAATAATATACCGGAAGACAAATTTTCCAGAGCAGAACCTTTTGGACAATTTTCAATGTCAGAAACAATTTACACTTTACACAATCGTTTTGTTGATGAATTATCTTGATGCTTTTTAAAAAGTGTATTTACTTGCAAGACAAAAATTCAGTTATAAAGATCATGCAAGAATCTTGGGTTAAGGGATTTCACGGGATCCTTTTATTTACATCAAGATTATATGATTCAGTACACAGAGATATGAGGTAGAAATACTAAACAAAATACAATCAGACCTACTACGAAAATGGCCTAATATAACTTAAATATCAAAAATAATTGACACATGTAGTTTTCTAAGATTAAATTGGATTAAATAAAATCAATTCTCACAATCAAATTTTAGAAACAAAAAACTTGTGAGTCAGGAAATGGAAATAAAATTTTAAATCAATTAAATAATTCAGGGTACAATAGTCATATTACATAGTACATCATAAAGAAAAATAACAATTACAGTGTTGAAAAGAGGTATGAAAAAGTTTAAAAGTGTTCATAAACAGAATTATAAGGGAAATGACAGTTATTTGGTCAACAATTCATACAAAATGCTGTAACATACTCATGGAGTGATGACAATTCACAACTATTACAACTAATTAGTTTATTTCTTAGGTTTTAAGCCACTAAAACTACTTTGGACTTGGTCCCATCTTGACCAGTTGTTGTAAAAATGTTGATTTAAAATTCTAAAAATATTCACATCATCAATGAGAGGGAATACTAGTGTCAGACATATCTGAAGCATCTGATGTCATTTTCTTTCCCTGAAAAACAAATTAAATGCAGATATAAATAGTAACTTCACAGCAAAGTTGATGACAACTGATTGATCCAAATTTATCCATGAAAAGATTCCTATAAGACTGCGCTAATAGATTCAGTTCAATGGACTTCAAGAATGCTTCAACTTCTATTTGAATTAACCTTTCTGCTTGACATAATTGATATCCAAATTTTCAGGAAAAAAATATAAACAATATTTTATTTAGATAAATATGAAATGTTTTGAGGAACAGGCTTTTGCCTATTTAATTCCCTTCCAGATAACACATAAATTTTACCGTGGTAGAGGTTTGTGAAGTAGAAGAGGGACTGTCGGATGTTCTGTCATATTTTCGTCTATGCATGTTATCTACATGTGTTAAATACCATGTACCAGAGAATAAATCTTCTACTGAACCAACAGGATTATAGGGTGCTGTAACAGATGAATATTGATCTTGTTTCAAATCTATTGCTTCACAAGAACACTGCTACTACAGATGTATTAACAAAATATTGCAGTTGACATCATTTCAAAATAAAAAAATCCTTCATAATATCATATTGCTGGTAATGGAGGTTAAATATGAATCAAAAGTAGCATATGCTCTACAGAATGAAGACTTATCATATCTGATTAAAAATACTTCATCTGTCACTGTTAACTCATGTAAAGGGACATAACCATGATTTCAATATGATAAACAGAGATTCTAAATTGAAGATCATGTGACCCTTGTATTTAATATCATAAATAGTCATAGTCAAGATGTTACTGATTTACTATGTACAAACCTAAATGATGGGTCTGTTCTCTTAATTTCATATTGGCATCAAAATCTTGTGGATGAACTTTAGTCCTACTATCTAGACGCTGTTCTAAATCTTGAAGACTGGTAAATAGACGGTGTAAAGTGGAGTCAGGTGTCAAATCATCAGAAAAGCGTAAAGAAAACAGGGTAGAGGCTAAACCAGAACCATATGAAAACAACACAATTCTTTTTCCAGCTAAGTTTTCTGCTGTTTCTCTGCAATTCAATTTAACAATGTAAAATAAGGTTTTTATTGTTTTGTCACACCAACCTTCATTGGTTTTCAAATATCTATCTAAATTATACAGATACATGAGTAAACAAAAAATATAAAATAAATAAACTGTTTTTAAGAAAGAATTGCTTAAAATATTTGGTTGAATCACGAATAAGCTGAACGCAGGGATCACAACAGGCTTTACACCATAAATAGAAAAAAAAAAAGTAATTGCATCTTTAATCATACTTACTTTCCTATTAAAGAGGCTAAGCCACCATACAAAGAAGCTGTATACATATTGCCAACTTGGTTGGACATTAAAAGTGATGGTTTAGTTTTCATTTCATAAACTTTTTGACTGGCTTTTACAAAAGTACTTTCAACTTGCTTGTCAAAATATGTTCCTTCTAGTTTAATATCTCTGTAATCAAATGAATAAGAAAGATAGCCATATACGCCCACCATGGCATGCGGATGGTAAATATTCAAGATTTTGGGGCAAGGGCAATAACTCTGCTTCTAACTGTCTAAATTCAAACTTGATCTTCGTTTTATGAACTGTATACACTTACCGAATTTCATTTGATTCCATCAAAAAATCTAGTTTTTAGAGCGTTTACAAGCAAATGTTGACAGACGGACCGATGGACCTTCGTTTCATGAATATGTATGCACATACCAAATTTCATTTGATTCCTTTAAACACTCTAGTTTTTAGAGATTTACAAGCAAATGTTGACAATGTATACGTCCACGTAGAGAGATGTGGGCGTATAAAAACATGTAATGCATTGTAACGATTCTACTTCTGACTCTTTGTGGGTTTTTTTAAAACCATATCTTAAAATCCTACTTATGGAAACAAACACTAAATATGAAAATCCTTTTCAGCACAAATTTTATTTACAATATTATCTGTTAAAGATTTTAAGAGTAATGATCAAGTTTTCCAAATACTGTTCACTATTTTCTGTCCTAAATTAAATTACTCTATTTTGTCACTTACTTGAATTGTTCTAAACCTGAATAAACACCCTGGAAATCTGGATTAGGATCACTGAGAAAATCATTGAGCATTAATCTACCAACAGATTTCTGCACTAATTTACAGTATGGTGAATGAAATACAAAGGCAGCAGCATTATCTAAGACACTTTGACATTCTGAAAAAGATACACATGACTCACTTAATCACATGAACACAATTGCATCCTTGACGATCAAACTTAAAATTTAGAATTTTCGCCTCAAGTCAATAAGCTCATGGTTACAAAAAAAAAAAATTATAATTGTTGTTTATAGAGTCTTTTAAATGAAATTTTCCTAAAAACAATAACAGACATTATAGGTTTTCTTGATAGGTAAATATGCACTATTACAACATACCAGACTATTCAAACTATGAATATTAGATTTATAACTCAGCAGCTTTAAACGTTACAAGTTACTATTCAATATAAGGCACTGGCACAGGGTTAAAGTTATGTTTACAATAATTGTGATGCTAATATGCAATGAACTAAATCAAAGAAAATCATGACAGTTATCATATAGATCTTCTTGGACCTAATAACGAAATTCATAATACTTATAATCTACATTTACGGAAAAAACATTATTAGAACAATTGTCTGTGGAAAGGATTGAACTTACTTTTTATTCCAGTAGCTTTAGCTCGAGATGAATAAACTTCATAACATTTATCTAAGGCATGTAAATAACACTGTATAGACAGTTTACCATCCACAGTAGGATATTCTGATGCCATATCAGGTTTGAAAAAGTCATAAACATGCTGCATGTGAGTTCCTCTAGCTCCTGAAACATCAAAATCACAGATAGAAACTTTTCAAATTTATATAACTGAGTAAAAACAGCATTATGAGTTAAAAACTCATTAAATTGTTTGCAAACCAATTTTGAAAAACTATGGTCAAATAAATTGTTTTCTTGTATTATAATCATTACTGGTATTTTGAAAGTTTAACAACTATTTTTAATAATGTCATTATAAGTGAGATTCAGCCAATCATATTAGACTAATTGTCCATTAGAATAATGATGGTCATCAATTCAATGTTTATCATCATTCATTATAATCAATGTGATATGAATTATAATTAACTGTAAACTTTTGAACAAGGAGCTTCATCCAAGCTAAAATTTATACTGGTAAAGCCCAACGCAGACGAGGAACATTTCTGTCGACGAACAAAAACATCGAACAAATATATTTGTTATCCGCAGACGACAAACATAATTCCGCAGACAATGAACTTTTAGTTCGAACAATAAGCCAGTGCCACGGAAAATCACATGACCTCAAAATGGCGACGTCCAGAAGAAAATGTAAAATTGCGTTAGCCAAAGTAGACGGCGAAATAGGATCATTAGGATCGGTACCTGGATTCAACGTCGTTAAGAGCAGGGTGTGTTTGGCAACCTTGTAAATTTACCGGTTGTTTCCAGGGATTGTGCTATTTCTTGCATTGCAGCGTACTTCTTGTTCCTATCTGAATAGTCGGGCGAAGAAATCATAAACAAACAGGAAGATTGCAACCACATATTTTCTAAAATCTGCTCCTTCTCCACAGTCCAAAATTTTGTGTTGGTAGATTCACTGGACTTTGCCATTTTGAGTGTCATGTGGTCTGGCTTCGATCGCTGATTGGTCTTTCGTCTATGAATGTTCGGCGCTAATGTTCGTCGTTAACGCAGACGGCGAACAAAGAATTGTTCGGGAGGCGAACAATCTTATAAAATCAAAACAATTCTCACGAACATTTTTGTTAGTGTTTCTGTAATCCGCAGACGGTGAAAAAAATGATCGAAACAAATTTTTTCCAATGGTTCGCTTAAAATGTTCCTCGTCTGCGTTGGGCTTAAGGAAAAATCATCATTTATCCATAATCTGCCTCTAAAGCATAGATCATATTTAGATTGCACCTAAATGCAAGTAATGACAATGTATTATTAAAGAGAAAGTTTTTATTTCCTTGTGAGATCTTCCTTTTTCCTTTACACCAAATAACAAATTTACAAACCTCTATCAAATATTAAAGGAGCATTAGGACCAACTAACATGGCTACAGCACCAGCTCCACCAGTACACCTAGCATTACCAGTTGCATAAACAGCAATATCACTTGCAACAACTAAAGCATAACGTCCTGAAAAACAAGAAATAATAAATAACTCTATCACAGAAAGGTGATCAAGTGACTAAAAGAAAGATCTAGTTCTCTGCTAATCGAAGCATGTAACAATAATTAACCCAAACCATATATTTCTGATTTTAACATGACTGATAATGCTGATATTATACCCTTCATCACTTTTGTGAACATCATAATTGTTCTATTTTGACAGTTTTTAAAAAACAAAGCAAGCATCTATCTAAGGTTGCAATAAAAATGTTCTTACCATCCCAGGAGCTAGATTCCACCCAGTTAACAGCATTAAACAACGCAGAAGTTCCACCATAGCAAGCATTAGTAGTGTCAATACCTTCCACATTAGTATTACCACTTTCTTCAAATAACTGCATCAATACAGTCTTAACACTTTTAGATTTGTCTATAATAGTTTCAGTCCCTACTTCAAGTCTTCCTATTTCAGTATATGATATATTATTTCTTTCTATAAGTTTTTGAACAACAGTTAAACATAATGTATTAATGTCCTCACGGTCAGAACAGAATCCCATCTTTGATTGCCCTAAACCTATTGTATATTTCCCTGCTGACACTCCATCAAACTGTTCTAATTCTGTTTGATCGACATATTGAGATGGGAAATAAACCTCCACAGCAATAATGCCAACATCGGTGGGCCAGCCATGCAATTCCATTTTCTGTGGTCCTGGCATTTTGTGGTAATCAAAACTTAAATCTGAAAACAAAAAAAATCCACTGAAAATGGAGAAATGATTATCAATTCTTAAATTAAGAAAAAAACTAATAAACCAACACAAGCATTTTTTCAAATTATGAGGTAAAGAATAGTTTTTCATTGGCCGTATGCTTTTTTTTATAAATCTGCACTACCAATCAACACTTATTTTAAAGTATAAACTTCCACATGATAGTTTTGAAAGTGTACATTACTGATCATACAGATGATAATGACCTAAACATGAATGTGACATGATAGATGTTGAGATACAGATCACAACCTTTGGACTTTAAAGCCCTCTAATTTTTTAGTGTACTACACAAAGGTCATTTTGCCTTGTGAAATATAGTATGTACCAATGGATAAATAATAATACCAAAAACATGACAGCTTAGCTCTGTATAGTAAAAAGAGGCATAATCTTCATAGTTCTTATATGGGGCAATTAAGACAACTTCATATTTTTTGTACACATTTTATCATTCATTCAACATCCAGAGATATTACATTGCTAGAAATAGTATTCAAAAAGGACAAAAGACAATGTCAAATGAATTCATCGATTGGGCAATTCACATACCTACTAATAGCCTATAACCTTTCTTTACAGGTTCGAAAGAATATAAACAAGAACTATTAGGCCTACACCCTTACACAAACTGACCAAGTCAAAGAATGATATTGATGCCAATAATATACAAATAACACGTACTGCCACTGGTATATACTGTTTTGCTATGTGAATATGATTGCAAATTTGTCGAATAATGATGTTCCTTTAAAAACCACTACCATTTACAAAAATACAAAGAAAAACAAGACGTAATATCCTTGTGACTATCTTTGGGAGGAATGAACAATGCCCGCAAATTACTAATTCGATTCTTCAGTTCAAAATAAAAATGTAAACAAACCTGTTCCGTAAGCAAATAACCGTTATATTACTCTCATGTGATCTAAAATGGCTTTGAAATAGGGTCTGACTCCCAAAATTGTGTTTGTACTTACGTATCAATATCAAATAGTACTGTTGTCAATCTTTTTTCATCAATGAATAATGTTCTAAATGTGCTGTCTGCTATTTTCTAATTTATTGACCATGGACACCGGAAATATATAGTGCGCAGGTGCTTGATTCAATCGACCAATCATTTGACAGCAAAACTCACGAGAAAAAGTCGGACGATGTCGTACGATTAGCCGAGGCCAATAATGACATTCTATGGTGATAGGAACATTAGAATTAAAACACCATGAAACAGTGTCAGCTGTTTTTACTGGAGACAATGACTTATTTTTATAACCTACCCTCATAATAGACATGATTCAACATTAGTTTGAAATATGGGGTGTTGGTTTTAATGGAAGGAACAGTTTTTACTCTGTTGTTAAGCATAATTATGCCGCATGGCTATGCCTATGCATAAATTCCGATCAGATGAGATGAGATCATCCAGGCTGTCATAAAGGTTATTGGAGTCTAATTAATTTCAGACCCAATCAGATTTAAATATGTGGTCTGGTAACCAATAGGCCATGTCTAAAAGTAATTCAAAGTTTTAGCTGCAATCTGTGACAAAAAAGTAAGGCTCGTGTAAAAGGAATACTAGGCCCTATACGTCTTAGAATGAACGTTAGAAACAAGTTACAAGAAAGTTAGACGAGCGTTGGGGAAAGTCGAGGGACGTCGGCGAACGCTGAGGGTGAAAAATATTTTTGAATGTGCAAAAAATTTCACGACGTTCTATCAAAATGCTACTTACGCGTTAGAGGAACGTTAAACACGAAAGTTGGGGGCATTATTCAATGGTACTCGAAAGTTAGGACGTTCCCTGGACGCTAGGCGGACGCCTGCCCATCAGGGTCGAGTGTCCAGTGCGTGGCTAGAATGGCAGACCAAGAGAAACATTAGTATTTTGTTGCTGCTCTCATGCATCACAACAACCTCCTGCAGTTGGCATTGCATCAGGTCAAGATGTCAAGGTAGAGTCCAAAAATCAAAGGAAGGGGAGAGGGAGAAAGTGCTGGGTAAGACCCCAATTTGGCGTTAGATGGTGATGAGAATATAGTCTCATGAAAGCACTGGCCTAGGTCACAAAGTAAAGATTTATGATAAAACAAGGTGCAAGTTAAAGGTTAAGATAATTAAATATGTTAACTAAGGATGTCTGCGTGTTTATAACAAGCTGATGGCTGAAGACCAAGCTTCCTTCCTTCCTGCGCATGCCACTAGAGATGTTTGATGAGCTGACACAAATAGATAGTCCCAGGATCACCAAGACCCTGGTATGAAGCTGACTTAAATTTTGCGACAGAAGAGTGCTGACCCTAGTGTTGCAATGCAGAATGGACTTCATATAGACACAATTTTTAGAAACTGAAATACTGTATGTGTAATTCACAATGTACGGAGCTCCTAAGGGACAATTAATTTGTTTAAACGAAATAATATCATATATTTTCGTTTAAACGAATTAATTATTTCGTTTAATCGAATAACTCATTTGTTACTTATTTGTGTAAACTTGATAGTATTTTGTGTAAACGAGGTAAAAAATAAAAAATGTTTTAAACGAAATATTTTATAAAAGTTCGAAAAATTGCGCCTAAGGGGCTCCGTAGCAGCGTTCTAGGGTTTCTAACAGGATAGTTTTATGTCATTATTGTGGATGAATACATAACAACGTAGGCTTCGATCGTGATTACATAAGTTTTCTTTTATCCAAAAACATTGGCGAAATAAAGATTCATTGTGCAATCGGTTTCATTTTTTGTCAGGTTTACGTAGGCCGTAATTGATCTCTAAAAATGCATTAACACAGAAAGGGGAATTTGTCATAATTTGACTTTTGGAGGGTGTCGTTTTCTAATGGTATCGGGAAATATAAAGTAAGCGTCTGAGGAACTTGTAGAGCCAGATTTCTTGGGCTAAAGGTGTGGTCACGCGAGCGGTCATGAGTTTCGCCGAACGGCTGTAGGCACCCAGGGAGACAAAAAATCTCTAGTTTTCCACTATGTTGACAATTACGTGCGGATCGTGCAATATTGAAAGGAAAATGAAACCGATTGGATGATGACACTCTGTCTTGCGATGAAACAATCGGAGACAAATATCAACCTGGTTTGATATTATAAATTCTGCAATGTCGGCAACGCGGGCACACTGAGATTTTACTCAAGATTCAAGTCGGCGAAAAATATCGGAGACCAAGACTATTCGTGTGCCCGCATTCTTAGACACAGGGGTCTTGTGCATCATAATATACTTAGTTCTTATTCTTATTCCACATGATACGTAATAAAGAAAATCAAAACATATTCTTTAACAAAAAAAACACTTGGAAATACATAGCAAAGTAATAAATTTTATGCGTAGAAATTGTTTTCAACTAAAGAAATCAAAGAAATTCGTATTGCTTTTCAAAATCTACATACGTATCGGATGCTTGGAAATAAATTCATATTTCGGCACAAGAATAAATAACCAAGGCAGATGTAGAAAGAAAAAAATACTCGTTCAACAGACACTGAAGTAAATTGAACGGCGAAATCGAATTCTGTAAATGGTGTGGCCTGCAATTAAACATTCCAATTCTAAACTCTTTGACAGTAACTAGGGTGAAAAAATAGGTGTGCAACATAAATTAAAAGGTAAGTAGGGAATATTAGTGTAAATATTGTTGTATTAGTTTGGTTAGTAGGCTAAAACTTTAAGATATAAAATGGTGATTTTTGTTTTGTTTTTGTAAATCAATGAACTCCCGCGATTCTCGCTAAAATGTCTAAAACTTGGCTATCGACATCAATTGGTTCAGCAACGTCTCTTTTCATCGTGCTTTCACTTATAATTCTCCTGGTTTGTCTTTCAAGCATTATGGCACCATGAACAACTTCAATGATGTTATCATGGGTTACCCCGTGTACAGAATATGTCAGATACAACTGCTCGGCTAATTTGCGTCTGTAAAAATCACCTCTATCACCAAAACAGCCGACGTCAATGTGCATGCCGTTTAGGTAAATCAATACTTGCTGCATGTTCTCTATCTTGGATTGAAGAAGAAGTTCTGTTTGATTCATGAGTAACATTATTCGTTCGCAGGCTACAATAGCTATACGATTGAGAGTAGATATTGATGACATGCGATCCACTGAAAATGGTTTTGGAAATGAAGAGCTCAATGCACCATTATAACTGTTTACTTCATATGACGTCATTTTGAAGAATTTTTCTCTGAAAGGATGAGAAACGAATGTAGACTAATCAATATTGCTATTAATAGGCTTATGGAATTTTATATCTTGTATTCACAAATTATAAGATATAAAAATTTAAACTATTTCATCCATGACAAAAATGACCATTTCAGACCAAAGTAAAATAACATAGTGTTAAGCAGTTGGACATAATCCCTATAGCCTTCAGACGTGTTTGATTTTACTGTATTTGGTTATGCTAAATACCGGTACCCTAAAGATAGACGTACATTGCCACATAAATAGGAATTAACTTCATGCCAAATAATAAGTTTTATATCATCACCATAGAACTTATCCTATTTATCCTACCAGATGGGCTAAGGACAATAGAGTAGCGACAGAAATTGAATTGGAACCTTGTACTTACTAATGTTCTTAGTTTTAAACTTTCAGTGCACTTTGTTGTCAAGGATTAGGAGCCATTTGTAAACAATAATTGTAGTCTCGAATTGCAAGTCTCCATATTGACATATACAAATGTTTTGATAAAAGAAAATCACAATAAAGGGGAGACTACCACAAATATTGATGGCTTCAGACAGCATGAAATTGAATTGTAGCTCTACTCATAGAGTTGTAAATATAACTCTATGCTCTATTTCTATATATGATACATAAAAACCTAGCTTATTCCCACTTTATTCCTAACAAATATATTTGATAAACGAAAGGGTAATACTGAGTAACACTTTACAC